TAATTTGCATAAGTCCAAAACAACTGGTCTTAAAAAGGGAAGACTGGTAACGGCTGCCACTTTTTATTGGGGTCTACGATTCAAAAGGCACTTGTCAACTTGTCAATTTGGTCCTCTTCATGAACTCCAGAAGAAGAAGAAGATAGCAAAGAAAGGATGACTGGAAGCTGCTTGATTCTCTCTTTGGGTCTTGAGTATGGTTGATATTTTGTCTTGCTTTTTTCTAACAGAAAGTGGAAAAACACCTGTCCATCCAGATGCTTTAGAGTGAAGTCACTCAGCCATGATAGTCTCAGCTTGCCAGTTCAGGTAGAAGCCCAAAGCTTCTGTTCTCCTTGTCGATGGAGATTCTCAGTCATCCAGGTCTCCTGGTTGTGCTTTTGCTAACTCAACTTTCTTGGTGTTATTCCCCTCCCTCCTTTAGAAACATTTCACTTCTCATCCAAAAAGCTTCTTTATTTCAACCTTAACCCAGAACTGAAGAAGCTTCTTGGATGAGAAGCAAAACCTTTTCAAGGAAAACAACTAAAAACGTCTATGGAGACTCTCAGTCCTCCAGGTCAGGGGTCGCCAACCTTTTGGACCTCAGGGACCACCAAACTCATAATTTTAAATCCCACGTACCACTAATATGAATTTTGACTGACGGTGACTTGCCGACGTTGGTGTGAAAGTCGGTCCCATATTCCAGAGCTACAGTAGTCACAAGACTGGCCCTTTGGTCATCCCAGAGCAGCTGCTCCTCCACCCGGGTGCACCGGCCTGCCATGGACTGGAGGAGCAGCTACTCCGGGGTGACCAAAGGATCAGTCCTGTGCCTACTGCAGCTCTGGAATAGGGGACCGACTTTCCCTCCAATGTCAGCAAGCCACCCCAGGGTGGATTTCTCTCCCCCGCCATTGGTCTTACCTTCCAGTTCCAGCTTGTGTGGATCTACTCAAGGTAAGGTTTGCACTCGGCTGAAGGGTGGGGGCCAGCGGGTGGGCAGGCCATGTGGGCGGTGCAGCCTTGTGTTCCTGCGCAGCCTGGATTAATTGCTTTGGAGTGTGCTTTGGGGGAGACATTTCTCTGCGGACTACCAAAATTTTCTCATGGACCACCAGTAGTCTCTGGACCACCAGTTGGCAACCACTGCTCCAGGTCGTGGTTGTCCCAAAGGTGCTTTTTTGTCCCAAGAGGCAATTGGACTTTCTGGTTTTACTTGGAAGACGTTTCACTTCTCACCCAAGAAGCTTCTTCAGCTTCTTCAACATGATTATGCGTGCCAAAAAAACATCTATCAAGTCAGGAGAAACTCTCTCTTTTTTTCTTTTTTTTGTTAGAGGAATTTCTAGTCTCACTTTCCCCAAAGAAGAAAAGGAAAAAAAAATCAAAACGGTACAGGCATATATTTGTGTTTATATGTGTTTCGTGACATCTCAACACCGTCCCCTTCAAACTTTGTGAAATTCTACACTCCATTCTATGCGGAAGGAGGGCCGATCAAGGAGGCCCCTAAGACATGAGAAATAACAGACGTCCTGTTACTCTGCCAGTGATTCAACTTCATTGAATTTCATTGCTTTCTTGCCTCTTGTCCACACCATCCAGTTTATATAAGCAACCTTAAACTAATCCTATTGTGGATTATTTTTAACAATATTTTTAAAGAAAGGAACATAATTCCCGTTACTAGTGATGGCATCAAAATTTAAGACCTGGAAGAGCTCTAGAAATTAATGCAAGGAGCCAAGATCAAGAAGAGTTTGGCTCCCAATGGGCTGAGCCTACCCAAACTTTTCTCCAACCAGCTGTTTTCCCCATACGCCCATTTCTCTTTCCTATCTCAACCTGCATACCAACTATGGGTCAGAAGGTCTCCCTATTAAAAATGTAGCATTGACTTTACAGTATTTGTAGATATATTATTGCGGGGTGTGTGTGTGTCTCCAAACGTGGCAACTTGAGGACTTGTGGACTTCAACTCTCAGAATTCCCCAGCCAGCGTGGATTCAGTGATTCTCCAGGGATTCATCACAGTTGCATATCAGAGTAAACTTACACCAAGTGGGGTTAGATATGACTTTCTTTCTTTTTTAATTACTTTATTCCTAGTATAGCCAATAGAAGAGACTGGATAGCAATTTGTCTGGAATTGTAGAGGGTTAGAAGGTAGAACATAGAATAACAGAGTTGGAAAGGACTTTCTAACCCCTCTGCTCAAGCAATTGACCTTATATAATTTCAGAAATATGGTTGGCAAGTCTCTTTTTGAAAGCCTTCAGTGATGGAGCACCTACAACCTCTGAAGGCAATCTATTTTTATTTATTTATTTCTATTTATTTGATTTGTCAATTGCTTACAAGATAACAGGTATAAGAATAAACATCGTTTTGAATACACGAAACGGATACATACAAGAAAAATAAAAAGAAACAATAGGACAGGGATGGTAGGCACGTTGGTGCGCTTATGCACACCCCCTACAGACCTCTTAGGAAAGGGGTGAGGTCAATAGTAGACAGTCTAAGGTTAAAGTTTTTGGGGTTTGGGGAAGAAACCACATAGTCAGGTAGAGTATTCCAGACATTGACCACTCTGTTGCTGAAGTCGTATTTCCTGCAATCAAGTTTGGTGTGGTTTACCTTGAGTTTGTATCTATTGTGTGCTCTTGAATTGTTATGTTTGAAGCCAAAGTATTCATTGACAGGTAGGACATTGCAATGTATGATTTTATATACTATACTTAGATCGGACCAAAGGTGGGTTAGTTCTAGGTTTTCTAGGTCTAGAATTTCAAGTCTGGTGGCATAAGGTATTCTGCAATGAGTAGAGGAGTGGAGAACTCTTCTTGTGAAATATTTCTGGACTTTCTCAATTGTGCTAATATCAGACCCATAATGTGGGTTCCAGACTGATGATCTGTATTCGAGTATAGGTCTAGCAAATGTTTTGTATGCTCTAGTTAGTAGTGTGATATTACCAGAGAAAAAGCTACGCAGGATTAGGTTAATGCTTTTTTGGGCTATGTAGTTCCAGTGGGCTCTAGCACTTAGATCATTAGAGATGAGTACTCCAAGGTCCTTGACAGAGTTTGGATCATCAATCTGTTCCATTAGTTGATTGCTGTCACCGTTGGATTGAGCTAAAAGACTTCTAAGGTCCCTTCCAACACTGTTATTCTGACATTCTGAAAAGGGTTTTTTTCCTCCTCCATTTTCCTCTCTATTACAGAGGAAATGTTTATCCCAGAGATGTCTTGAAATGGGAAATGCAATATTAACAGCTCCAGGAGGTCTCTTAAAATCCAGGCAGATGCAAACACAAAATGAATCAAAATGCCTTGTACGTGTCTAGTCCAGCTTTCTCTCCTGGTTATTTGCTTTTTCCTGATTTTTCTTGTGGGACAGGGTTGGTGAAAATGGAACATGGGAAGGCTCGAACCTGTAGAATGTTATAAAAGAGGGTAATTGTGCTTTTTTTTCTTTTTAAAAATTGCCTTCTATACAAACAGTTTACCTGCTTCTTATTTACTCGATTTATATTTATTTTATTTCTATAGCTGTCCAGTTCCAACAAGTGACTCTGGGTAGTGAACAATCAATAACGGCTTGTTAGACCTGTGTAAATCATGTCTTTCCAATTTATTGAATCGCTTCACAAAAGAGAGAGAGAGAGTGGAAATATGAAAAACAAGTGGTTTGAATGGATTTAAAGTATCTGATTCCATCTGACGCTCTTAAGTTCTTGAATCTGGAAACAGACTCAAAACCCACCTCTCTATTGGCTTGTGTGAATTTCCACCAGAGACCAAATCTGGATTGATGAGAGATCTGAACAATCTGATCTTTCTGCATTGAAGGTCAAATTATGACATTTTAAGATGATGCAGACCTCTGCTCTTGGGGAATGAAAAAGAGTTCCATTCCCATTGCATGAACAGGAGAGGGGGGGGGGGGAAGTTGGCTCGGAACATCTTATTTTTTAAGATAAAGATGTTTTAGAATAGCTCAGCGATGACAAAGTCAATTGGGCTAAATATCTTTATTCCTCCCTGAACAAATTGTCTAATCTATCTATATGTCTGAATTGCCTTCGAATGCGGCATTTCTGCAGACTGTGGTAGACTATTCTGCAGCCAGCAAAATATATATATATATTTAGAAAGGAACCAAAAACCTGAATAACTTCCAAAAGCTGCTTGTGTTTATTAGCTGTCGAGTTAACTCTCCTGCAATTTGAATTCAGAGCAAGCATCAGCTTTCAACTTCAAGACTGAATGCAAAAGTTATACAAGGTCAGCTGTCACCCACAGCTGTGTCTTCTCAAATCCCAGATGTTCCCTTCTCCATCTCCACACTCATCGGAAAGTAAATATGTACAGATAGAGTCCTCAAATCGGAAGCGGGTCTTCTGTCGCTAGATAAGGCGTTTGGTGAGTGGTGCCCTGATTTTATGAACCTTTTTTTTTTTTTGCTGGGGTCATTAAGCAAAGCATGCAGTTGCTTAAGCGAATCTGGCTTCCCCCATTGAGTTGGCTCGTTGACGCTGGCTGGGAAGTTGCAAATAGCAATCATGTGGTCCCAGGGCCACTGCAACTGTTGTAAGTACACACCAGTTGCAAGCACGCAAATTTCAATCATGTGACCCTGGGGGTTGCTTTGACTGTTATAAGTCTGAGGATCGGTAATAAGTCACTGTCGCAGCTTTGAACGGTCACTAATTGGATACTTGTGAGTTATATGAGCTACCCTGTATGGCAAAGTTTGCACAGACAGAGCAAATAAGAGCCAAAGCTTCAGGTGGTTCTAAAGTTTTTATTTCCACAAATGCCATAACACAAAATGATAAGACAACGGTTTCTTTCCCCAGATAGAAAGAATCTGGAGAAAAATATATTTATCCAAAGGAAAAACAATCATTCTGCCCATTAAAATGCTTGTGCAAGCCCTTGACGGAACTTTTTTTTTTTTTTTTTACAGAAGATACAGTAAAAAATACATCGTTTTTCATAGAAAAAAAAGCAAATATACAAAAACTTCAGGCTTGTGTGGCCTGCAGATATGACCTACGCAGATCTATATATGCCTTTTAAAAAAGATAAATTTTAACGCAGGCGGGGAAATTCTTTTCCTCTATCGAGTTGCTGTATATCTGGTGGCACCCACAAATATAGTTTCAATAAGCATGAAAATGCCCGTGTTTTATTCACCTCCTGTTACTTCGTCTCTCGTGGACGTTGTTTGTTGGGCCTGCATCAATCATCCCTCTCTGGTTTATTGAACCATTTCTTGAAACACACATACACACATTTTGGAAAAATTCCAAAGAAGTGGCCTGAATCATCGGATTCAATTGGATGCGTCTAAATGCATGAATCTAGGAACGGAATCAAGACTTACACCTCTGTTAGCCTGCGTGAATTCACATATTAGAGACCAATCCGGATTGACCACAAATCTGAACAATCTGTTCTCTTTGCATCCATGTCAAAATTGCTCTCCAGAAATAGAGGAATCTGGCTTAGAAATGGCACCTAACTATGTTCTTAAGTATCTTTGATAAGCAACATATCTCAAAGGTGGGGTATCATTTAGTAACTGGAGATTACCTTGCATTTGGGATGACCTTGCATAAGGAGGTTTTACCTTCTTCCCCGTCCCCCCAATTATTTCTGTGCACATTTTGCATTTAGAAGTCTACCCTATCTGATGTCTCAAGAAACACGGGATACCTCCAAAATGTGATTTCATTTCCTGACACTTTGCCAAAATTCTCAGGACCATAAAAAGAAGACCTTAACGAAGCACTTTGTACTTAGACTTATATCCCGCTTCACATTGCTTTGACAGCCCTCTTTAAGCAGTTTACAGAGTCCCCAACAATCTGGGTCCTCGTTTTACCAACCTCGGAAGGATGGAAGGCTGAGTCAACCTGGAGCCGGTGAGGATAGAACTGCTGGCAGTGGGCAGAATTAGCCTGCAAAACTGCATTCTAACCATTGCGCCACCACGGATCTTGGTAGAACAATATGAACGCACTAACTCTCTTCTCGGACACCTGATAATTAAGATTAAATAGAAAATGGGCCATCCCACCCAACCACCTACCTCAGTAGGATGCCTTAGAGTCCTACTTGTGACTATGGTTGTTGTTTTTTTCCCTCCAGGCATAATGGTTAAAAAAAAAACCCAAACAAATAAGGGAAAATCAGCTAGTTCCTTCTGTGTGAATCTGTGAGCAGGTGTAGAATCAAAAACATCTTATTTAGCACCATTTTAGCACCATAGTTGGCAAGCAACCCTGTGGGTTTAGAAGGCCAAAATCCACCCTGCTTACAGGAACCGTTGCATCACGTGTTTGATTTGAAGGGTATTGTGTGTGGGTTTTTAACAGAGCCATGGTCCACTAAAATCAAGAACTTTAAATAAATAGAAATTGCACATTGAACAACATTTGTCCTTTTGTGTGGTGGGATCAGAGGTCAATTTTTGAAGCCAACCTTGGGTCAGATTGATAGGAAGCCCCTCTTTGGCTTCCAATGAAGACTGGGCTCAAGGTTTTAGAAGAAAGATAAGTCCTTAACAAATCTAAGCCTTCAAATATTTGGATTGAAAGAGGACGACTTTGCAACTATTTCATTAGGACAACGTTTGCGACTTGACTATGATCTACAGGAATCATACTGAATATCAGGAAACAGAATCGTTCTAACAGGACTTCATAATATACATGTTGTGACCAACTTAATATATCAAGCTTCCAATCTATACAAATAAACAAGCAAAGCAAAAACCTTTTTGATTCCAGCAAAATAAAGATGAACTTTTGGCAACCATTGCTTAGCTAAGCGAGAACAGCTCTGCTGAATAAAATAAGTTGGATTCATCTGTAAATAAAATAATGCTAACTAACATGCAATGAATCAGAATGTGCCAAGACAGGAGTCCCAAGGGTTTAATTTGGTGACAATTGAACTCCTTTTTCCTAACTTTCTGCAATTGTTTGGCCAGCAAACCTATTTGTTCCATTTAAGTTTTCTTTTGAAAGAAATAGCAACTTTCCATTCTTTTGCAAAAGCAGATTCTTCTCTGGAAATTCAATACCTCTTTCTCAGTCTCCATCAAAAGAAATCTATGTTATTTGTTTAGTGTGGTCTAAACCTTGCCTAAACCACCATACCATTCATGGTATCACAGGATGACTTGGATTCTAGGTATATTCTTGACTTTGACCCAATTTTTCAAAAATTTAACCTTTGGGGTGACCTAAATGCTTTTTATGTTCTCATTCAAAGCCTACTGATCAGATAAACATCCACCTCTTGGAAGTAGTATTTTACGAGAACCCCAACGGCCTATAGCTTGAGGGCAAAATTGTTTTTAGGAAGGGTGGCGCAAGCCAGTTTTTCAACCATCTTCTCTCCTAAACTTGAACCATCTTCCTTCTCCTTGAAGGTTCAAAACATTTGGAAGTAAAACAACAACAGTCTGAAAATAAAACAGTGAGCAGATGCTGTCAAGATGGAGAAAGTTCCAATTCCTGCCACCATCTTTTTTTTTTTTCTCCAAAAGAAGATGGATTTAGAAGGCTTCGGCGTTGTCCAAGGAGGGGCAAACATCTCTCACCCCAGGAGAAACACACAAGGCTGCCGTCTCTTTCTCCAAAGAGTCTCGCCGTCTTGGGAAAATTATTGCCTCACAGCAAAGATTCGGAAAGCTTTTCCTTCCCTGGGAGTCTTTAAGCTGGCAAAGGAAGGATAAAAACATCAGCTCCAGTAGAAACAACGGCAAATAAGACATAAGCATAAAAGAAATATTTTGACAGCTGGGCCTTTCTGGTTGATTTCTTGTCTGCTTTGGAGGACCTTTTTCTGAGCTTCTCTAGGGAGAGGTGAAGATGATTGATGACGAGCACTTTAAAATTAAATCTACTCCTATTTGCTGGCTCCCCGTCTTGAGCCACATTGCACCCACAGCCCTACGATGGCAGGAAGTCTTAGTGAAGGAGTGCCACACAATGACGAGAAACCCACTTCTCCCTGGGCACACTGACCTTCCTCATCTATCAATTGGCAGGCTTAAATCCAGGAAGCCCTCTCTGGCACTCGCTCAACAGCTGCCTAACAACTTGGACATCAACACACACAGTGGGAAGCTGCTGAATGCCCAGATATAGGCAGCTACGTCGATGACCCTACACACAAAAGATGCCAGGTTTTGACCTTCCTCACCAGCGTTGGTCAACTCCAAATAGGATCCGTACCCAACATGGTACCTGGCAGAACTCCTTGTTTAAGTGGGGTCTTGTCTCTACCCCTCAGTGTGCTCATGTGGTGCTTCTCAACAAAATAGCCATCCCATTGTGTCCGAACGTCCATCAAGAGCTTATACCAGCCCAATATCTGATTTTTTTTTTCAACATAGGCCACCACCCTGTCCTTGGATGGCTGGGGGGACTGGACATTAACATTCGAACCACTATAGGTCCATGTCTCTTGCCAGATGCTAAATAAATAAATAAACGAGCACTTTATATAGGCAGTCGATTCATATTTCTGTTTCTATTTCTGGACTCCAAATTTGCATTTCCAGATCTTCAGCTCTCCAGACGTTCATTCGAGATAAACTATCTCTTATGTTTTAGGTAGTTTTTCTTCTTCTTCTTCTTCTACCGGGCTGGAAATGTTTTTTTGCCTTACCTTTCAGATCGGATCCCATTCCTCAAGGATCCATTATAGACTTTCTTCTTATCGACCGGCATCACATCGACGTAACCGCCAGAGCTGTCTCCGATGACTCCTGCATGCACAGCGGCTTTGCAGATGCTGGAATTCTGAAACATAGCAGAACAAGCCCTGTAACACCCAAGCTCCTGTCGCTTCCTCGTAAATCCCCCAATTAGGACGCCACAATCACTTTACATGTTGCAGAAGAGCAGATTAAAGAGGCTCGGTCCAGAGCCAGATTTTAAATCTGGAAATCAGCCAGCATCAGCAGTGGTCCAGCTTTCCATGAGACCAAAAAGCAGATTGTTCCCAAGCATGTTTCTAAACTGGGGAGGGGGGTGGAATGAGTCCTCATTTAAAAAAAAAAAAAGCCAGAACACACTTGACAAATCTCCAAGATCAAAGATATTTGATTGTGTATATGTGTGTGGGTGTGTCTGTCTGTCTGTCTTGTCAGAGTACATTCATGAACTGGAATAGAGCATGGTAACAACATCCGCCAATGAATAGGCATAGCAACTAAGTCAGCCAATGAGGACTGTTTGGAAACTGAAACTAGAAGTAGCCTAGGCGTGGCTCTATATTAAGCTCTGAAGCTCTGAGTCTGTCTATTGAAAATGAAGACTGCTCCTGAGACATGGAATTTTGGAACGTTAGGTCTACAATGGCCCAAAAGAGGAAAGAAAACAACTCAAACATTACACTTTCATAGAGGGTGCAATGCCTCAAAATTCCTACTGTGACCAAGATGCCATGGAATTGGTGCAAGGAACATACGAGAACATAAGGAACATTCAGAGGTGCATTTCTCCAGGCCCGCACATACATCATGGTTGAAGTTCTCCCGCACCTCCACCCCTTCCCAAGCCATAAAAAGTCAATTCCCTGGGTCCCATTTTTCATCTTGGTCACTGCCTCTGTTGCTGGCGGCTTTCTCGGATTTCACATGCCAGTTTGATTTGAGCCTTTTCTATATATGGTCAAAGAGAACAGCGTGAGCTTTTTACAGCTGCTGCGTTTCCAGTGCCTGCTAACCCTTCGTTCCACAGCATCGGAAACTGGCTGGAGAACCACTTCCTGTCATTAAGGAACTCAGGCAAAGTTTCCATAACACCTCATTCTCCAAATTCTCTTCTAAATGGTTGGTTTCCAGGATGCTCAGCTTGTTGAAATTCATCACTCCTGTGGCCAACACACCCATCCCATTCCATTCCATTCTTTGTTTCTTTCTTCCTTCTTTCCTTTCCTTTTTTCCTTTCCCTTCCTTTCCTTTCCTTTCCCTTCCTTTCCTTTCCTTTCCCTTCCCTTCCTTCTCTTCCTTTCCTTTCCCTTCCCTTTCTTTCTTTTCTCTTCCTTTCCTTTCCCCTTTCCCCTTTTGTTTTCCTTTCCTTTCCCTTCTTTTCCTTTCCCTTCTTTTCCTTTCCTTTCCTTTCCCTTCCTTTCTTTTCCTTTCCTTTCCTCCCCCCCTTCCCCCTCTATCTATCTTTTTTTCTTTCTCTTTGCTTGAATTGCATTCCTGGTTTCTGGCCCATCTTCTCCTCTGCAGCAGAAATCTCTTATCGTGGTGACCAATTTGCAAAGTTTTAAGAAGAAGGTCATTTCCCGAAGAGGAGAACTCTCTCATTCCAAAATCGGTAGGGTTCTTATAATAAGTCAGCAACTAAGTTTTATGCATCGTAGCCTCTAGAATCCTTCCTTCTTCCAAGTTTAAACCACAGAGAGCCCATGTTACAGTTTAGCCTCTTCTACGAACTGAACCAGGATCGCAGGCCAAAAAGACCAGTTCCTATCCGTAGTTACTCAGCAACCGGTGGCAAGAAGTGGTTGACAAGAAGCAGGAAAGATTCTAAGTGTGCAAAAGGAGCTTTTTATCGAATACAGTCCAAAGCAACAGGGGAAAAAATTAAATCAAAGGGATTATTTTATCCTGGGTATAAAGAACTTTAAGAAAGCGGCTTAGTATTTATATGATAATCCCTGTATTCCATGAGAAATGCCAGGCTGGAATTCCAAGGATTGTCTTTTCTTTTTAGATTTTGGGTTTTTTGTTGGATTCCTCGCCTGCCAGAAGCCCTGTGCTGAATTGCTAAGAGCTATTTTGGACGCCTACTGAAATTAGAACGCACAACAATTTGTTGGCACCATTCTAGACATTAATGGGAAGCAGGGACACCCAGCAGTGTGTGCTGGCTACTTTGCACATTTGTTCCATTCCAGGCATGGATGGATTGTGACTTTCATGCTTAGCCTTTCGAGAGGAACTCTTTAACCTCCTGCCGGGAAGATGTTGGAGAGGACAACTGAAGAGGGAAGCCTTCCACTTGTTTTGACTAATGGCCTTGTCCAACCTGAAGAAGTTCTCAAGAAGATGTGATTTGGCTCTCCGCTCCTCTCCAATGCCTTCTTGTCTCCTTGTTATCTCTTTCTTTCTTTCTTTCTTTCTTTCTTTCTTTCTTTCTTTCTTTCTTTCTTTCTGTCTGTCTGTCTGTCTGTCTGTCTGTCTGTCTGTCTGTCTGCCTGTCACTGTTTTTCTCATAAGATACTATCCCTATCCCCTCCCCTGTGTGTACTTTAAGGGAAAGCAAGCAGAAACTATTCAAAATAGATAATGTCTACCATTATGAGTGGGCCATATGGAAGAAGCCATGGCATCTATCTGGAGCTGTCCTCAGCTGCAACATTTCAGCTTGGTCCTCAATCCTTTATATAAACATGTCCCAACCTTAGCAACTTGAAGACTTGTGGACTTCAAAGCCCAGGATTTCTCAGGATGGCTGGGCAATTTTGGTACTTGAAGGCCACCCATGTTAGTAAGGTTGAGACACACTCATCTACCCAAATCCTCAATCATCAAAAGAATGAGCCAACATCCTGGTTTTTGTTAAGTAGGAAGAAGATAGGATTACTCACATCAGCATATATGTTTGTGCCATATACTGTAGCCCAGTGGTTTGGCTCATTTTTGCAGTAAGCTGGACAGTAAGACCTGAAAGATGAAAGATGGAGATGAAGAATGATTTGAATCACCGGTTTAGTACAAAATGACCCAGTAAGAAAGGGAAAAAGCACCCTAAATAGGAGCTCTTGGAAGCAATGAGTTCCACAGTATCTCCATCAGCTTCATCCATTGGGAATTCTGATTATGGTTATTTTGCAGACATTTCGTTACCCAACCTAGATAACATCATCAGTGCTAGTCTGTTGACATTACCTAGTTTTGGTAATGAAATGTCTTCAAGAAAACACCCAAGCTCAAAGAGCATCAAGGACCACCTCTCATTTCAACCCTGAGCTACAAAGATTCTCCTCTATTGGGATTCTCATTGACCAGCAACATCTACTGAAGTCAAACTGTGGGAAGTTCTACCAAGCAGCCATGATGTGTTCCCACATGGATCTGAAATGCCCTATCATAAGGCAACACTTTCTTTTCTCAATTGCCCATAGCATCAGTGATTAGATTGGTTGGTTTCCCAGCAAAAAATTATTACTAGTAGTTTCAATGTGACTCTTCCAACAGAAATTTTGAGCAATCCATCCCTTCAAATATCCATGACTAGAGTCCACCACTTACCTTGGGCAATGAGTAGTTGGCTTCTTAAATGGACACAGTTCCTCTACTGTGGTGTAACAATCCAGAGTCTGCACTGTGGAATTAAGAATAGATACAAGATATGTATGGATTTTGGGTTTTCTTTGTAACGGTGGTCAAAAGTCAAGAATATACAAATTCCAAATTAATTAAATTAGCGGGGGAAAGATACAATATACTAAGCAATCATCTCAGTGACTATATTTCATATATATTCCTTCAATATATTCAATAGGTTTCATATATATTCATTCAAATATGTGAATAATGTAGAAAGGTCTTTATAAAAGTGAGCTATAATTTGCACAATGCTAATCTTTACACAACCTTTTATTACATCTTCTTTCCGGTATAGCTGTTGGTAAATGCATTAAAGTGTCCTAATGCCTTAGCTTACACTTGTATTGCCTCGCACAGCATTCAAGAAATAACTTGAGGACTAAGTCAATTTATCTGTAACACTAGGCCAAGGGTCTTCAAACTTGGCAAGTGTAAGACTTGTGGACTTCAACTCCCAGAATTCCAGAGCTAACATGACTGGAGGATGAATTCTAGGAGTTGAAGTGTACAAGTCTTAAAGCTGTCAAGTTTGAAGACCCCTGCACTAGGCAATGGACTCTAAATACATTTTAAAGTTGACCAAATTCTGTATCATGGAAAATTAGAAATTAGAAAATTAAATTAAATCCTGCCATTTAAGATGCAGCTTAGAAGGCAGGGGAAGAGTTAAGGAATCCATTAACCAGTGGATCCTATAAAAATATTGAGCGCAGAGTCATTTCAAGATATTTCTTTTGCTTTTTCCTTAATCCTGGAGATCTGCCAAAATTACAGGAAAATGGGAGGGGGGTTGTTTAAACCAACATCTGTTTGAAGTAGCCTCATTTGTCATGTAAAGCTGCAGGGTTCCTCCGGGCTGAAAGTCAACTCCAAACTTGATGGCATTGCTTCTGAAGCATCTCAATTTCTTATTCTAAGGCCTTTGTTCGGACAAACGGAAGCCTGGCCCCAAAACAAATCAAAGCTGTGTGGTGTTTTGCCTGGATCATAACCATAACTGGGTGGAAAATTATTGCACTTGGGGAATAAGATCAATTCATATATATTTTTTTCTGGAAGATTTCTTGCTTGATATATCCTGCTGTTCTTAGGACTTTTCTGCGCTTGTTCAAACAAACATCTCCACCATTGAAGAGAAAGAAGACAAACGCAAGAGGAAGAAGATTTCTTGACTTCAAAGTAAATTGATCATTAGGCTGCCTGGTATGTTGCTTTTATGTCTACTATGCTTTTCTAACATGTAAAAATGTTAGCGGGTCATTTGAACGTACAAAACCCTGGGCCTGTGTAGGAATGTCAGTGAGGGATTCGCTTCAGCAAAGGTTCACATGAAGTTTTCCCTTCAAGCAACTTTGCAAAAATATCTTTCCATCTAGGGATGCGGAAAATCTCTTTGCATTACAGAAACTTCTCTCTCCCCTTTCCTTCCTCTCTTTTCTCTTTCTTTTTTTTTCCTGAAAAGGTGTGTAAAACATCTATCACAAGCTCTTCCCAAAGGTCCGTTTTCAAGTAGCAAACAGACTTTCTTGGTTTTTCTTGAAGACGTTTCACTTCTTGGCTGAAGAAGCTTCTAGGTAGGATAAGAAGCAAAACGTCTTCAAGAAAAACCAAGAAAGTCCGGTTGCCTCTTGATAAAGAACCTTTGGAACAACCAGGACCTGGATGTCTGAGAATCTCCATGGACTGTTACAAAGTCAAAGTCAAGAGTTCTGAATGCAGAGTAAAACAGTACAAAGCAGAACCTGGTGGCTCCATATATATTGTTCCATAGTTTCTCAACACTTTTGGCTCTCATGGACTTCAGCATGAACTAAATTATTTCAGTGCCCATAAAGAAAAGGAGTGTGTTGCTTTAATTTTGTTTATTTCTTACAGTTGTTCCACTGAAGTATGTCCCACTGAAAGGCTACCAACTCAAGAAAAATCCTTATTATTGTTCTATACATCCATCATACATAACCATTGTCTTCTATTTTCTCCCTATTTTCTTTTTCTCTCCCTTTCTCTCTTTCTTCCACTACGGTATCTCCCTATTTATCTTCTCACTTCTGTCTCCTCATTTGATTGACTAACTACTAGAAAAGGATTTAATCCAGGGGAATTCTGGAGGAAATCATACCAATTCTTTCTTCTCAATGAAGAGAAGAAACTTACCTGTGACTTTTGACACAGCAAAGCCATTGGAAGGTTTGTATTTGCTGTCAAAGGAGAGAGAGAGAAAAACCCAGTATGAATTCAGTGTTTAAGAGGTCATTCTAAAATTAAATTTCTAGATAACATTACAGGAGATAGAGTAATAGTGTCTGCCACTTAAGCAAGACTTCAGCTCTTATTCATTGACAAGCAGAACCAAAGATGCAACAAATCACAGTTAGAGATATGACATGACTAGATTATTTTTGGACATAGAAAGTGGGACTACCTGAATGTCTGAACTCCGTTTCTTATAGACATTACGAAGAAGTCTGATCTTCCTTTCCTAGTGATATCTACTAGGCCACCTCTGTTATCTAACACTCCGGAATGAATAGCTGCTCGGCATATGCTGGATGCCTGGAAGGAAGGAAGAAACCATCTATGAAACTGCACAAGGCTGTGTGCAAGTCAAGATTATTATTATTTTTTTACAAAAAGTAAAGATAGTGAAACTGTACCCCTTTTGGGATATTTTAGGTGTGTTATGTTTTTTAGCCATTGTGTAAAAAGCCTACAATGTCACCCAAGGAGAAAGCTTGGCACAACAAATAATTAAATGTTGAGAACATAAAGCTATGGATGATTTATCCAATGGTATTCCCCAAATTTTTGAGATACCCATACAGATCATAGTAGTGTACTGATATTATAGTTTTGGTGATGGCAATTATAATTTCCAGTTATTTTTCGCATAGTTTATAGGTTGGACTGGAAGGATTATAAATGTTATAGCTCTAAATGTTTTTTTTTTTTATCGGTCAATTACCAAAGCAAAGATTTTGACTTTGAAAATCATAACCCCGAAATATGTGGAGGGTTTTTATTTTAAAAAACTTACACTTTCATATTTGGGGAATCCAAATACTTTTGCCTTACTGTTCAAGCAGCCAGCTGGGCACAGATACCTAGCCAAAAGAAGAAGAAGGGAATCATTAAGGAATTTTGGAATTTGCCTTCTGAACTCATATTGTTGGTCAAGGGCAAACATTCCCCACCTGGTGCTCACCAAATGTTATGGACCTCAGCATCACTTTAAAGGCCAGACTGAGGAGCATATATCATTCCTGGTGTAGATTTTACCAGCTCTTCCCTTAAGCATTTTCAGCTAATGTTTGAATTGGATTTGATTCATTTAACTGTACTGTAATTAAAAGCATGACATAGAGGAAGGATACCCATTCCAAGAGAGAGACAAACATTTGTCAGAGGAAAATGGTGAAAGATTGATGCCAATATAAGGATGGGTATGCCATAGGTTTTTTTGTTGTTTTTTTTACAAAAGCAACTGGACTTTGTTTTCCTTGAAGACATTCCGCTTCTCCCCCAAGAAGCTTCTTCAGTTCTGTGTGATGACCCAAGGTATGGCACAAAGGCAATATAGTCAGATAATCAGTAGGAGTCCCCTTATTAGCTCCAGCTTTGCCCCCAATGTCCTGGTTACCTTCTGGGCTGGACAAAAACTCTCCCAGGAACAGCCTTTGGCTGCAGAGAATCAAGTCCAAAACATGGTCAACAAAAACTGTAACTATAAGTCCAATCAAGGCAAGAGGAGGTAATTAGTCCAGCAGGGCAGGAGAAGAAATTCTAGACGTGAAGGCATGGCAATAACTCAACATGGTTGGGAGGATGCCAGGAATGCAGATAACCAAAGTCAACACAAGATAAATTCTCATTTGTTCCCACCAGATACCGCACTCAGCATGCATCTGTTTTAAACACTCATTCCCAGGTGTGGCTAATGAAGGGAATCAGGGCCCTTTCCTCCCCCATTAGCCATGCAACCCATGTTGCTCTCTTCTCCGTTCCTCCCTGCATGTCCTAGGATGAAGAGGGGGTGGACCTGGGTCTTCCTCTGAACTCCCTCTCCCTTGTTCTACCTCTTCCCTGCTCTGCCCAGCTGGACTTTGCCTTTCCCCATTTTCCTTCACAGCCAACAGGGCCACACTCCCACTCCCTGCCAGCTGTTCATCTTCCTCCTTGAATTCAAACTCCGATAGGAGCATGACATTCTGACTGAATGGTGGAGAATGGAAGGATTTATATTCCTTGCAGTCATCTTCCTTCCATTCTCCGCCATCCTGTCAGAAATGAAGAAGCTTCTTCGATGAGAAGCGAAACATCTAAAAGAAAACAATGAAAGTCCAGTTGCCTGTTGCAAAAAAAAAAATCACCTTTGAGACAACCATGACCTGGATGACTGAGAATCTCCATAGACATAAGGACAGGTAGCTAGAATGGACAATGAATCATTTCTAGGTCCTTGTTGAAGATAGACTGAAGCTCCTCCTTTCCTTCAAGAGTTGGAGCTTCCATGAAAAGACCTGAGTGGACTGTTTCTACATGATTTTTTGATTGATAGGACATCAGAGGGAATGTTATGTTTGAACATTGCCACAGGTCAAAGGGTAAAAAGAAATAATAAATGTGGTGCACCTGTTACATGTGGATCCTCGACATGTATCCCTCATTTTGGTGTCACACTTGATCACTTGAGCTAGAATAATGGGAAGATACACAATTGTGAAGGAAACATTATAAAAACAGGTTCTACCTTGCAGCCCTTAAGTAACACTGCACAGAAAAATTTAGATCTTGGGATATAGGGTGAGGTCTTCTTTCCTGCCTTAGAAGTTTCCAGATGACCATCAAATCCATCCCGATGAACTTCTGGCATCTTCTACAACATGTGTTTATACTAGTAAATGGAGTTGGCCTATCAATTTATCTTGTTGTTAGTTGTGAAGTCGTGTCCGACCCATCACAAACCCATGGACAACGTTCCTCCAGGCCTTCCTGTCCTCTACCATCTTCTGGAGTTCATTTAAGCTCACGCTGACTGCTTCAGTGACTCCATTCAGCCACCTCCTTCTCTGCAGTCCCCTTCTTCTTCTTCTTCTTTTGCCCTCAATCGTTCCCAGCATGAGGCTCTTCTCCAGGAAGTCCTTCCTTCTCATTAGGTGGCCAAAGTCTTAGAGTGGCCAATTTATCTAGCCCATGTTATCCCCTCAGCAACTTTAAGATGGGTGGACTTCAACTCCCAGAATTGACTGGGGAATTCTGGGAGTCGAAGTCCACTGGTCTTAAAGTTGCCAAATTTAAGACACACACTGATCTAAGGTATGCATTTAACCACAGAAATCCCCAACCCATTTTTCTTTTACCAAATAGCCCAATGCTTGCTGAATTTTCTCCTATTTAGTCAAGCAACAAGTATTCCTGAGTAATCATCTGCAAACTCCCAAATGCTGGAAAATAGAAATACTTACTCATGTAGTTCACCTCTGTGGGTTTCTTTTCCTTTGTAGGTTTTACAGTTTTGGGCTGTATTCTGACAGGAACCTTTTGTAACTCCACTTCATTACCCCGATCCATCTCCGATTTTTCAACCACTTTCTCTTTGGTTAGAGAGTGAAAAAGAGCTGTGTGTTACTACTATTCAAGGCCATTAGCAAAGAAGATGGAAACTAGGAGTTGAGAAACTTTCTTGTTTTTTCGTTTAAGGAGATTCAGTGACTTTGTCCCCCAATTTTGAAACCAGCTCGCCTCAAATAAATAAGTGTGAAACCAAGGTATCCATGGGGGTAGGGAAGGGAAGAAAACATGTCAAAAAAATAAAATCAAGATGGCACCATGCTCATAACGTTGCAACTGCCACCTTGAGTTTTTAGTCACCTATGGATGCCTTAGACAAATCGGGCAACGTGCAGTTTTGAGTTTTCAGGAAGAAGAAGTCTAAAAACTGAATGTAATTGTGGAGAGTTAGCATGGTGGATCTACCTAGATCAGCGTTTGAGCAGGAGGTTTAAGCTAACACGAGTCTTAGCTAGGAAGACATGAAATGGCTTTCTAATAGAATATGCCACCCAAATTTATACTGGAGCAAATTGTTCCTTTCCTATCTCAACAATTTTCTTTCTGCAAAAGAGGCTCCAGACCTTCTACCTTGCTTTCAGGGTGCTGTATTATTTCTTGGGGATTTCAGGAATTCGCATTGGGCTTCCTTTTTTGGTAGAAGAAGCAGAAAAGGCCACACCTGGTGTTTGTTATGAGATATATGTTTCTATTAATCTGGAATCAACTTAGATGCCCACATCCTAGTCTGGAAAGGTCCAGAGAGGGAGCTTCCTCTTCTGACCTCCTGGGACATTTACAGAAGCCAGAGGAGATGCAAGCTCTTGGACAAAAGACCAGACCATGAAGATGGCAACCTTTATGGCAACCTTCTTCAGGTGGTCCATCTATACATCTAGGGATGTCCACAGAAGCCAACCATTTGCTGAGAATGACTCAACAAGCATTGCATCATCATGACACAAGATGCATCCATGCAAGGTTGCAACCCATCTCATTTGTGAAGAGGACAACTTTGAACAAAACCAGGATCAATGTTTGACCGCTACTAGATCACGTACCTTTATAACAGACGTTAGCCCGGCACCCTCCTCCATAGCTTGGTGGGCATTCAGAACATGATCTGCCATTTTTGTATGGGGCTTCTCCAATCCAGTTGCCTCTGAAAAGTTCACACAAAATGTTCCTTGTTATCTTCTTTCATCCCATGTTTGGCTCACAACATACAAAATCGTCTCTGGGGACTGTTTTAGGCCTGGTGCCTGACTTGTTATGTTCTCAAGACCTCTGATCCGTGAAAAAAAAAAATGTTCACACTGTGGCTATGGTTTGATAGATTACTGTTAATCTGGGAACATTTTGCCTCAAATGTATAGGTCAGGGGCATTCTGACGAGAATGTTGGCAGATGAAAGTACCTCAGAACCAACCAGGCATTAGTCCTCACACCCGTTCCACAAAACCATTATTCAAGACCACCCCAATTTCTTTCTCCTAAATCCCTTTGGGTGGGAAGGAAACCCATCTGAACGCTCAAAGGTCTTTTCTGGTCAACAACATCTTCCAGCTGAGAATGACTCCCAGGTCTCTTCCAAGAGACGAATAAATATTAGCTCTTGTGTGTGACTGAGAAACCTTGGCAGCGCCTGGGAACATTAGCTTCACGTGGTGCTTGCATGTGTTAAACTCTCATCTTTAACAGGCAGAAGTCACTCGAAACTTCATCTGCCTTTTCAAGATTGAAAGGAACTTTGTCCCTGACCCATCAGGGACCCAACATCTCAACCAGGAAAAGCAACCATTTTGATGCAAATATTCAAATCGCAGTGGTTAAGCAAAACTTAAAATCCGTTGGCTAAAATAATCAAAGAACCTAGAGATAAGCTTTGCCCTGTTGGAGTTTCTCCAACCGGTCCTGATGTTCTAATATTTTGGCCACATCCCAAGATCTAAACTTTAAGGTTGAGGTCATCCAACATGTGAAGCTAGACTAAAAAGGGGGTGGACAGTTTGTGGTGCAATGTGTCATGGGAACCTAACTATAATGTCTTAACATGTCACTTAAATGTCTTAAACTACCATGTTAAGCCACATCATGGAATCTTGGCTTCGGCTTGTATATTATGGAATGCAACAATTGTGCTGGGTGTATGAAGACGTGGTCTTGGGAAACATTGACTCACTACACATCCTGTTCACAACCTGTTTTCCTTGTTACCTTCTGGGAGGGGGCTTCATGTGTCCCAAGCACAACATTCAGATTTAGTCACAATTTTGTTCCATAGAGCATCAACCTTGTGAACTCTCAACTTTCCTTTTTCTTCTATGTATTCAAAAATAGACAGTGATTTTTATATATGTGGGTGGGTATTTGTGTGGGTGGATGGATGGGTGTAAGCATGTGTGTCTGTGTAGTAAATATGTTTATGGGGAGATAGATACTTCTTTTGAGAGCAGGTAACAGAATTTCACTTGTAATGTATGCCAGTGGGCTCCCAGTAAAAAAAAAAATGACAATAAAAGTTATCTTATCTATCTAATTTTTTGACTAAACTTTTGATGCAAATCCATTGAGACAGTTCTCCTTCCCCCCTGTAGCCTTACTTGGGAGAATAGTTGCAGACCAAATACACCGCGTTTTCCCACACTTCTCCCCACACGTCTATCCTCTTGCAGACATTAATGGCACAGCCAATTTTGTTGGTTGTAGCCCACACCATCTGGAAAGAAACACAAGAAGCAAATTGGTTGAAGCAAATGCCCGGGTTCAATTCCTCTTGCGCTTCAACATAGCCCTGCCCATTGAGAGAGGGGAAAGCCATTAGTTCTAAGACTCCATTTCAGCTGGCCTTACCTGGGTGTAGTGCGTGCACATAGATCCTGTACATCTGTCGGGACACCAAGGATTGCATTCATGGGGATATGGGTAGGTGTAATCTTTTACTTCGTCATACCAAGACTGGACGTGGAAACTTGGAGAACGATGCCTAAGGAAAAAATGGGTAGAGGTTCTAGTGTAACAAAGAAGACCATCAACCAGCTCTTTGCCCAGGGTGCCTAGTGTGATGACCCAAAGGGGCGTGGCACAAAGGCAACACAGTTGCATAACTAAGAAGAGTCCCTTTAATACCTCCAACTTTGCCTCCAATGTCCAGGTTGCCTTCGGTTGGAGAAAAAACTCTCCCAAGAACAGCCTTTAAGTGGAGGAAATTCAGTCCGAAAACAACGTACATACAAACTGTAACTAAAAATCCACACAAATCACTCTGCAGTAATTAACTTGACAGGGCAGGAGAAGAAATGGCAGACTTGAAAGGCCAGCAAAACACACACAGCTGGGAAGACGCCAGGACCCCAGATAAGCCTCAGCAATACCAGATAATTCACGATTTGCTCCCAACAACTTTGCTGTGTGCAGCCTCCCTTTTTAAACACGGTGTTCCCAGCTGCAGCTAATGAAGGGAATCAGGGCCCTTTCCTCCCCCATAAGCCACGCAACCCACATTGCTCTCTTCTCTGTTCTTCCCTGCGTGCCCTAAGATGAAGAGGGGGTGGGCCTGGGTCTTTCTCCAAATTCCCTCTCCTTTGCTCTACTTCTTCCCTGCTCTGCTCACCCGGACTTTGCCCTTCCCCAGTTTCTTCCACAACCAACGGAGCTACACTCCTACTCCCTGTCAGCTGCTCCGCCTCTCACTCAGAATCAGATTCCGACAGGGGCATGACGTCTAACCAGCCATAAACGCATATGTTTCTGTATAAATGAGTATTTGTGCATGTGTGAGTGTGCCTATCCAGATGCATTGTTTGTGTTTCAACATCAAGATTAATGTGGGAAGTCATAAAAATGGACTGAAAACAGGTATTGAAACCAAGCCAAACATTCAGTTAAGACCTATTGCCAGCCAATTCATTAGGAACTAGCAAAAAACACACGACTGCATAAAGAAAGCATAAATTCTTATGATTACAGCAGCAGGCTGAAATGTTCAACCAGGATTATGTCAAGCACATTCCATTGGTCAAACATACACATACCCTCTCAAGATTTGTAGCTTGCGGGAGTCTGCAGTCTTACCTTCCCCAGTGAATAGCCAAATTCTGGCCAATGGACGGGAGCAGGCTGGCAGGCCCATGGTCCCAGATGCATTGGTGAGCCCAAGATTCAGCAGATCTCTCCAGTTCGTCATCCCATCTCTAAAGAAGACATCGGAAAGAAAAACACAAATAGGTTAACTTATCTAAAGTCAACATCTCAGATGTGTGGACTTCAACTCCCAGAATTCTCCAGCCAGCCAATGTGGGCTGAGGGATTTGGGGAGTTGAAGTCCCCATATCTTAAAGTTCCCTGGGGAATTCTGGGAGTTGAAGCCCCCACATTTTAAAGTTGCCAAGGTTGAGAAACATTGCTCCAACATGTACATAAAATTAGTAATGAAACGTGCAACTCCGCGTTTAGCAGGGTGTTGAATTTAAAACAGACCTTGCTGGATCAAAGTGGTTGCCTTGTTTCTTGGCAGACTTTGAACATGGATTTTCTTATCCAGAGCATGACTGTGAAAGATGTTCTCGCACATTCTTTAAATTAGCTGAAATTCAGATTGGAAATATTGGGTTTGGGGGGGCATCAAACCATGCCATGATTAGCTGAGTTTCTGCACTTCTCGGGTTTACAGCCTTCAAAGGAGTGGAGGGGGGAAAAAACCCAACACTTTGAAACAAAAAAGCCTTAAAACTTGCTGCATTCTGAATTCTGGGATTCAGGCTGGGATTTCTAAGCTCTGCTAGATAGATATGGCCGCACTTATTTTATTTATTCGTTACTTGATTAGGCTCATATGCTGCTCCAATCGCTGACAACTTTTATGAAGGGGGGATTATGAACCAGCCGCAGGAGAGACTATGGTTTTTCAACTAAATCTTTGGGAGCTCTTTTTATATTCTGCAGGATCTCCAGCAGAAGGAAAAGAAAACCACACACATGAGGTCGAGGTACAGAGCAAAGCCAAACACGAAGACCTGGCTAGGTGGGACAAGTAAATAGACACTAACCTGAAGAGTCTTTGGCTGTGGAGCAGAACTGGAGGAGTCACAAATGCCAAGAAAAATACATTTATTTGGCCTCCACACTTGTGTTGACTTTCCTAAAAGCAGTGAGATTGTCCCTGGTCTTACAAAGGATGGAACAAGCACTGCCCAGCAGGGAAATGGGTGCTGTCAGCCTACGCAGGGGTTGTGAGAAGGGGTTGTTCTTGTCCCAGGAGATGGATGCACCAAGTGGACTTTCAAAACACAAGAACATACATTTTTGCTCACTTCTTTTACTAGTATCAGAAAGTAGAGTGGGAAAGCTGCATCTTCCTGGACAATAATCCTAGCTCATCAAGGATTATGTCATAACTCATTAAAAGAAATAATCGAGGGATCCCCAACAATTAAGAACCATCAATCCAATGTTAAGACGGGCTGCAACAGAGAATGACATCACTCTGAATTGGCTTTGCACTACTGTAAGTATTCTATTGTAAAGGCCATTCAGAGTGAGGTCATTCTTTTTTTCTGGCATCCCTGTGAATAAGTAAACTTGTTCCTTCTGTCAAAAGAATCTGCTCCCTCCCTGATCAACTTCTGAAAGTACTTTTGCTACTATAGTGAAAGCTTCTAAGTCCAATCCTGGTTTGAACCCAGATGTAGATTATCATTTATTAAAGGCTGTAATGAATCATGAAAGGGATTCCTAAAGGAGGAACTGAAGTCTGTGGGACTGGAGGGCTGTGGAGTGGAGTGGTTATGGCAATCATGACCATGCACTTAAAGCCCCACCTCTTTAATGTGTGAAGGGATGTACCTCCAAAATCTATTGGTGAAGCTGTGGTCACCATCTTGACTTGTTCATCCCTCCCTGTGGTCATCTCCAGGGATTTTCCAGCTCCTTGCTTCTTTCCCCAATCAGCATAAGATTGCTGTTTAAAATAACTGTTGAATGTTGGTTAAAATAACTCAACAGGTTCATGTTAGCTTAGATGAATGTTACTTAACCTTGGCAAGCTGAAGGTGCTTCTAGGAGTTTCAATGAATTTAGGCCAGTATTCTCAATCTTGGCAACTTGAAGGTTTGTGGACTTCGAGTCCCAGAATTCCTCACCTAGCATATGTGGACTTCGAGTCCCAGAATTCCTCCTCCAGCATCCATGGACTTCAGCTCCCAGAATTCCCCAGCCAGCCTGATGAATGGAAATTCTGGAAATTGAAGTCCAAGGATGCTGGAGGAGGAATTCTGGGACTTAGAATCCACATCTGGTAGGTGAAGAATTCTGGGAGTTGAAATCCATTCACTCTCAAGTTATCAAGGTTGAGAATACTGGCCTAAAATCATTTAAGGTCCTATAACCCAAGGATAGAAAAGCAACTTCATTTCTTTGGTTCAGCCCTGAGATAGCTATAAAGTCCCTTGCTTAAGACTTCGAATTGCTAGAATAACTGGCTCCAATAGTTTGACTCATAGCAAGCCATTTATCAATGCAAGTGGGGATAATCAATCTTAGCTCTGTGGGATCCCTCCTTTATATTTAGAATGGATCTGATATCTTGTACAGGCAGAGAAAACATTCTGTTCTTTCCTTACACACACACACACACACATACACACACCCCTGCAGAGTTTGGTTGCAATCTCAAATAGAATGGACATTTGGCTTTGAATGAAATCATCTTTAATCATCTTTTTATTGGCGTCTGGAGAAGTGGGCCTACGTCAGAAGAATGTTCCATCGAAAGCCTTTGCATGGTCACATAAACATGTGAAAATCTTTGCTTTTCTTAAAAAATAATAATAATCGCCAGGAACAACATACACAAACTTCTGAAAAAGGGTTCCTGCATTCTTCTCTTGCTGACAAACCTAGAATGATAAATAGCAAAAGACTGGAAATATTTTGAAGCTAGAAGTGTGTGGGGTTTCTCTCTCTTTCTCTCTCTCTCTCTCCTTCCAGTCTCTAGATTTTTAAGTTGCTATTTGTAAAGACAGGAGCTCTTTTTATAGTAAAATGTTCTCCGTACGTTTGCCATTTTTCCATTCCCAATTCTCACGAGAGAAGCATGAGAAAGAGGGGTCAGCATCATCTCACAGGGTTGGTTCCCTGGCTAACTGGACAAGGATGAAGAAATGAAAAATATAAATGTATACTGTAGATGTGATGACCCGGGGCGTGGCACATGGGCAACACAGTCAGATAATCAGTAGGAGTCCCTTTATTAGCTCCAACTTTGCTCCCAATGTCCTGGTTACCTTCTGGGCTAGAAAAAAAACTCTCCCAGGAACAGCCTTTGGCTGCAGAGAATCAAGTCCAAAACATGGTCAACAAAAACTGTAACTATAAGTCCAATCAAAGCAAGATGAGGCAAAATGAGGGCAAGAGAAGGAATTCCAGACTGCAGTAATTCAACACGGTTGGGAGGATGCCAGGAACACAGATAACCAAAGTCAACACAAGATAAACTTTCGGTATCCAGCAGATACCGCACTCAGCATGCATCTGTTTTAAACTCTCTTCCCAGGTGTGGCTAATGAAGGGGATCAGGACCCTTTCCTCCCCCATAAGCCATGCAACCCATGTTGCTCTTTTCTCCATTCCTCCCTGCGTGCCCTAGGATGAAGAGGGGGTGGACCTGGGTCTTCCTCTGAACTCCCTCTCACTTGTTCTCCCTCTTCCCTGCTCTGCCCAGCCAGACTTTGTCCTTCCTCCACAGCCAACGGAGCCACACTCCCACTCCCTGTCAGCTGTTCGTCTTCCTCCTCAAATTCAGATTCCGACAGGGGCAGGACAGTAGAGGCCATATTTCTCAACTTCACCAACTTTTAAGATGGGTAGACTTCAACTCCCAGAATGCAACCATGAACAAAATATAGATATTAGTGTTCCTAGGATCTTTTCCTAAGGATTAAGGTTGAGCGTTCAACCCTAGAAAGAGCTGCTTCTGGACAGATGGTTTCTTTCTCATTGAAATGACTCAAGAAACTACAACCTGAGTTGATTTTAGGAAAGGCTTAGAGGGAAGATTTCTTGCTCTGGAATTTGGGATGAGTAAGTGTCCTCAAAGGAGAGTGGAACAAGGTTAAACTCTAGGCTACATTGACAGATGGAATGGAATGGAATGATTCACAAGCATTTCTTCTTGAGAAATCTCTTCTTCTCACAGATGGAAGGACCTAAAATGCTATATGGGGGTCCCAAAAGAGTTACTCATGAGAAAGTTTCCAATCATGTAAGAGAATTGCATTTGTCTGTATGCTTGGCTATCATCTCTGGCTGGCTGGCTGGCTGGCTGGCTGGCTGGCTGGCTGGCTGGCTGGCTGCTGTCATCCATCCATCTGTCTGTCTGTCTATCTATCTACAGTATCTAT